TTGAACTCAGGACCTTGCACTTGCCAGACAAGCGCTTTTGCCGCTGAGCTATATCCCCGGTCCTTAATGCATTCTTTTAAACACCTAAACTCTTCTTCAATATATGGATTACTAGAATTTAATAAACCACTGTCCTCACTGATAGCACCATTTAACACTTTTCTTTAAAAATTTGCACAGCTGAGAATCAGCTACAGGGCTACTGCTGAGCTACATCCTCGACCCTGTTTCCCAAATTTTCGACACCATGTAAATCGCTGAACATATTTTCTGCATCGTATATATACTTAAATCAGCAATCTGAAGAGTGATTACTCTAGAAATAGAACTGCAGGGTTAAAACTGATACATTTTAAATTTTAGTGTTTAGCTACACTATGTTCGGACTAGTTTACATGCACATTTTGTATCCGGAGAATGTTTCTCTACTTACTTTGCCAACGGGTTACTTTAAATTGCTTAATCAATATGTTGGGTCAAGAATATCTTCAGTGTGTCTCTCCTTACGGTGAAGTCACTTTTTTTGTATATTCATTACTTTGCCTTTCATTCCGTGAACTGCCTGTTTAATCCCTTGGCTCGCCTTTCTGTTGGATTTGTAGCATCTGTTTAATGGACTTTGCATATTAATCCTTTTACAGTTAAACTGCTTTGCCCAAAGCAGCGCTTGTCTTGACTTTTTTGGTCTTATTGGTCAAAAGGATGCCTTTAATTACTATGTGGTCAATTTTGTTAGTTTCTTTCTATAGACATTTTTGGTATTTGTTAAGCTTGTCTACTCATTCGACTCTTATGCATATATTTCATTTAATGGTTGTGTAGCTGTGTGATAAGCATAATGAGCATTAATTCCTCTAGAATTATTTTGCATATCATGTGAAGTCAGGGTGCAAATGTGTTTGTTTCTCCTAAAAGAAATGCCAAACATTTCTCATAGCATTTCTTAAACAGTCCTTTTGAAGTGCGATAAATGCCAATGTATGCATGTATTAATCCATTTCTGAACTTCATTCTGTCATTCATGGATCCTTTCTGTACATTTATTTTTTTATTTTTTTAATTTATTTTAAAGAGTAAAAGAAGGATAACATAATAATAGGAGGGGCTTACCAAATTACAGACAAAGTGGTAGGAAATTATCAATGGTTATTGTTTTACGTATTGTTATC